AAATACCCCATCCTCCAATCTCTTTTTTTCCAAATTTAATTTTTGTGATTTTCATACAATATAATTTTAGGGTATTTAGCTCTCCTCCCCTATCCCCATTTCCCTTACTGGCCCCACCCAATTTAATGTATTCTATTATATATGTAATAACGCCTATAGAGTCTACTTTGTGTCTCCAAATGTCCTTCAGTGTGGGTCCATTCGCTGGAGCCTGGTTAACTTACCAAGAGTCCCATGCTTGAAAGAGACTTGCCTCTGCCAGCAGCCATCTGTTGCTGCAAAATCCTTAGGTGGGCTTGGACTTCTGACCTACTTCTTTATGTCTATGCTTGGATTTTTTTTTGGTTTGAGCTTGCGTGGGACCAGCTTTTAAAATTTCTGTTTTGCTTTGTTTTTTTTGAGACAGGGTCTCCTTGTATCCCCAGCTGGACTGGAATTTGCTATGTAGGCCAGGCTGGCCTCAATCCCATGGCATGCACCACCACACCCAGCAGCTTTCTAAATTAACAAAATTAACTGATCATGATGTGTGTATGGGCACGTTTATTATAGTACCTGTGTGGCAGTCAGAGGACAACTTTGTAGAGTTGATTCTCTCCTTCTACCCTTATATGGATTCAGGGATCAGATTCAGGTTGTCTGGCTTCTGTAGCAAATACCTTTACATGCCGAGCAATCTTGTTGGCTCCAGCATGAGCTTTTAAGTGAAAGCCTTACAGCTTATTATGTAAATTAATTATTCTTACTAATGCCTCCTTCTTTTCTATGATATGAATGATTTATACTTTTAAAAAATATTTTACTTATTATTTTTATTTTATGTGTACGAGTGTATTGCCTGCATGTATGTGAGTGCACCCATGAGACAGTGCTCTTAACTGCTTGGCCATCTCTCCAGCCCCAATTTATACTTTGAAAGGGAATCTAAGACAGAGTAAGGCCTGCTATTGAACTGACTTGTCCCTTGAATGGAATGAAGAAGGAAAGCCTAACTTTGAGGGAAGATCAGTGTTCAGTATTCACCTCCCTCTCTAAATTTCTCTCCTCGCATCTCAGTGCTGGATGCTTGACAGTGTGGGTGGACAGAAGGGACTCTGCAGAGCTCTGCTGGTGGCACTCACCTGTTTTCTTCCCAGCCAGCTTGTTCATCAGGTAGGATTTTCCCGTGCGGTAGAGGCCGACAATGGCCACCACCACCACGGGCTGAGTGATGGCAGACAGGATCCCCAGAGCTTTCTGGTTAGGTCTCAGCTGTCTTTTCACATTCTCAATGAGGCACATGGGTTCTGGCATGTGGACCTCTGAGGCCATGTCCATGGGGCCCCTTGTCTACAAGGAAAGAGGTGTAATCAGTTAGAATTTTCTTCTTTCAGAAGGTGGAGCTATACACTCCCCTCCAGCATGAACGGAAGTTTTAGCATTTTGGTGAAATGGTAAGGGGAAATCCCCACCATTTTTGAAGGTGCTGCAAGTATTATCAAAGTTATTAAATAAGAATGCTAGAGTAGCAGTGAGTTATCAAAATTCAACTGCTCTAACAACTTAAATTTTCCTTTTAATCTCTTATGAGAAGTTTTCCTTTCTGATTTTAATTTCAAAATTTATACTAGATATGGATTAGGAAAGATAATGTATAAAAATATTTAAAAATTCTATCTAGACAATTTATAAAATTTTCTTTTTGAAAAATAGAATTTTTCAGGGCTGGAGAGATGGCTCAGCAATTAAGAACACTGACTGTTCTTGCAGAAAACCTGGGTTTGAATCCACCTACACGGTGGCTAACAATCATCCTAACTCCAGTTCCAGGGGATCTGATGCCTTCCTCTAACCTCTGTGGGCATTGCTTGACACGAGTGCCCTTACACATATGTAGGCAATACACACATACACATAAAACAAAAATAATAAAATATTAAAAATAGAACTCTAAATATAGGATTAGGTATATTTATTTTTCATGTAGACTATATGAAAGAAATCCATCAATTTTTACAATGAATAAAGAAAAACATTCTCTAATAAATGCCTC